GCTAGAAAATCACTTTCTTCGATCAATCGCGTCGTTGGGTGCGAAAATTGTGTCCTAGTTCTAGTAAGCGTTGCTCAGGGGAGAACGATGCTGACCTCGTGATTATACGCTGCCTGGAGCATTTCATTCACTCCGATATTCTCAGATATAAATTATCTTAGAGCTGTAATCAGCAACTCTTTAAGGTCATTTTCCTTATTTTTGGGATGTTTTTAAGCTCTATGAAGATTCTATGATATTCTGAGAAAGTGAGCGAATTCAGCCTCTTGCTCTGGTATCCCCGATATCACACTTTAGTTTCAGAAGTTATTTAAGTGTATCAGGCTGCCCCTTAGAATCTTTGTCCAGACTTCATGTACAGCTTTTTCACATAAATTTAGAATTTTCTATAGTTTCTGAAAAGTCAGAAATTCTATTTACCCTATTCCTTAAAGACCCAAAGAAAGTTTTGAAATCAGAGGGTTTCTTCATTTGTAAAGCAGAAAATTTGTTTCTTTAGTAGCCTAGTTTTCGATGCGATCTTCACAGAACTTGCAATTTCGGAAAATCTAGTAAATCTCTAGTCACAGATCATAGTGCTAGAATCCATAATTACAAATCGATAGAAGGCCTGAAGAGCAGTCAGGTGGCTACACATTTCTTAAAAAGTTGTACAACTTACTTCTCACCACCAAATGTTGCCGGGAACTTGTAATTTGATAGAGATTGTGCAAATTTTCCATTTTTCAAACTGAAGTTAGTGAAGTCAATCTATGGTTTACTGAGCAAAGTAGTCAGTATTCGGATGAGAGCAAACTGATTGAATTATATCTGACGTCTACAAATTCCTGAAGTACCCAATAACTTAGGCAATTTTCCAAAATTCGCGGAACTTGAAAATTTGGAAATTTTTTCAAGTACACTTTCAAATAGTTCAGAAATGATTTCATTCCAAATTGGAATAAATTCTATCAAGGTGTTAAGGTCTTTGTATCCATCTCACTTTCTATTTATGTCATCAAATTGGTGAGATTTTGAAGAAAAATCGATATTGTGGGGTCAACGGGCTCAAGAGGGAGCCAGTCTGGTTAATTAGGGCACTATGAGGGACCAAAAAATCTGGAAAACAGAATTTGGGATTTTGCAGACTATTGAAACATTCTCGAGTAGCTTAGAGCTTACTGGTTCCAAATATCAAATTTAAAATTTGATACGAAAAACGAGAAGAAATCTACACCAATCCGGCTTTTTCAACGCGACATGCCGTTTGTATCGCCGTTGATAATTCAAAAAAGAGCCAAGACAAGAGAAAAAGCAAAGTCTGAGTGAACTCATGAGCGAACGAAAAGATGCCCGTTTCAAATATTAAATCGAAATTTTGATTAAAGCACTTTGAACCGAGTTACATTAGTCGGCACTTTCTGCGCGACATTGCGCTTAGACCGCCGCTGGCATAGAGCCAAAAAAGCTTGAAAGCAAGATTTCAAAATTTTTAAAAGCTTATTCAGGTAGCTTAAGGGACGCCGATTCCAAATATTTAAATTAGAATCTGTAAGATTCAAGCTGAAGAGAGTTATGGCGGTGCGGCGATACCAACGCGACGATGCGTTTATTTCGCCGGAGGTCTCAAAAAAAGATCTTTGATAACGAGATCTGGAAATTTTTAAGTGCATTTTCAGATGGTTCAGAAGGCGCTGATTCCAAATATTTAAACTAGAATCCGATTGATTCAAGTTCAAGCGAGCTATCGCGATGCGGCACTTTCGGCGCGACATTGCGCTTATATCGTAGGATTTCAAGGCGGCAGTGTTGGTACTGTAGGGCTACAACAAGGAAATGAAGTGGAAAGGTTTCAAGCCATAGTTCACAGTTTTCACTTCTATTCTTCGCATTCGTACTACCAAGCTTCACTACATAAGCGAATAAAATCTAGTTCATTGGATAGCATATGATCTGAAAAATATGTTAGAACTTTGATTACTCATGAATAGAAATCGTTGTACTCTTGGATCGTTTTTGTTTCTTGACTTATGGCGAGCAGTCAGAAGAGTAAGTGTCTATGCTATTAAGAATCGATGTGGCGGGTAATGACACACCTAGAGTTTAGAAGAGGTTGAGGTAAATGCTACTTGAAGGTAAATTTCGTTTGCAAAGAGACGGGCCTAGATGAGTCTGAGGTAGGTATAAATTTGCCGGAAAATGCTTTTGTCCGTTGTTCGCAACCGTTGCTCCTAGCATCCAAGAACGAATAAGAGGTGGAGTTTGCAAGGATTCTGACAACTCATCCAAAATTTGCTGGAATTCAGCTGGTGCCTCAATGTGGATGGTTTGCCCTTTTTCTACTATCCATTCAGGTTATCTCTGATTTTTGAAAATCATCACTTTCGTTTATCGCAAAATTCCTAACTCGCTACCTTTTAGCCAAGATGGGTTTCGTCTTGCATTTTCGACAAAGTGAAGGAGCTGGAAGGTCACACACAGGGTTGAGCGTGGGGTCAGGCGCGCCCGACCTGGGGGATTGTATTCAGGGTAAGACTGAGGGAGAGGGGGGTCGTAATCAAGAATCGAATTTGTTAAGTTGAGGAGATGTTGCGAAGGTGAAGAAGAAATGCGCTAGTACGGTGGATATCGCGATCAAATGAAGGAATGACGGTCATAAACAGCATACTGATTGTTTCCACAATGGAAGTTTCAGCCAAAATCCAAATCTTCATCTCTTTTACCTTGACATATGAGGTCGACAAGGAAGCTTGCTGTGTGAATGGGTATCATTTCCATAATGAGCATGTCAAATCGCCTCTATGCGCTCTACAAACCATTACCTACTGCAGTTTTTAGTGTTTTCAACGTCTAAAAAGCGTGATTTTCAAACGTGATCAACTTGGTTTCAGAAGTGAGAAAAGTCATTTTTGTACACTCATAACAAATTAATGTTCTCTACAAGTCTATGCTACAAATTGGGCTTCATATCGCTCTCAAACAGTGAAGTAAGAAGTGCTGCCAAAGTTCCAACCGGCGCGTTTCTCAAGTTGAGTGCTTCAACTCCTCGGATTAGCATAAGGCCGATACAAGTCGAATCAAACTCAAACACTTACTGTGGAATCTTCGAGGGTTGAGCGTATCACATAAAACTTGGGTAGAAAAGCTTTTTTGGAAATAAAGTTAATGGGGTCAGGCGCAACCCCTCAAAGTCAGGCCGCCTGAGCTTTTGAGGAGTTGTGCCTGACCCTCTTAACTTGCCTTCAAAATTCAAAAATCGCCCCTTTTTTGATATGACTATTGAGCGCAAAACCTCTTCTTGCTATATTGAAAATTTGGAGCCAAACACTTCACCCCTGTAAAAATTATAGCTCTGAAAAGAGGACTATCCAGATCTAAAACTTGCCGTCAAGTTGCGTGTGGTTGTGCAATCGCAGAAAGTCGGGCCTACAGTCAAAAAATAGAAACCTGCAGTGAAGGCTGGTCTTCTTCAAAATATAACACCCTGAGGACTTGGAGGTGAAGCGAAGGGTCGTTTAGGGGCTTTCACAGGGTGGGGGGATCGTTTTTGAAGGACTTGTGCCTGACCTCTTGCTCAACCCTGGTCACACATATACATACCATGACATTTGGCTTTGCTGAGTGCTATAATATAAGGACAAATGCATCGGAACCAGGTGCAATAAGGTAAGGAACTTGGAGTAGCACCTGATAACGCTCTAAAAGCTCTGATTGCGTAAGTATGCGTTGATTGCGGTGTTAAAATTGACTCAAGGATAGGTAGTGTAACTCTCATAACTCAGTTTCATTGAATAGAACTCTCCTTTTCAAAGACTGGTTCACCATGCAGAATCCAAGCAGCCTTGTGCGTGGTATTTTTTGTGATATTGTAGCATATTTCGGCTTTTTTTCTTCTCGCAACTTCACTGCTCTGCAGATGGTATTAGCCATTCACATAAAGAGTTTTGTCAATCATTACGGTTGAAAAAATGCGATTTATCCTCCAATGCAGATTGACTTTGAGTGTTTAAGCGGCACAGAATATGATAGTTTATTTCTCCTTAGGCACACAAATACTTTTTTCTCGGCTATTGTTTGTTTGAATCCTAAGCCCATAATCATCCCATAGCTAAAAATCATTTCGGAACACGCGATCTGCAGTCTAATTCTATGCACAGTGAGTTATTACGCACAACAATGTGTAGATTTTAGCAGGTGAAGTTCGTTATAGTTTTGAGCCAAGGATCAATGCACAAGTTCTAGTATCTATCACGTTCTGGAAAAGATTCAAATTATACCTATTCCATTTTTCAAGCAGTTGCAATACCTACTGCAACGGGTTTTTGGTAGTTTTTGAATTTGAAATATTTTGAGCTCGATTGTGAGCAATGAAGCAAATATTCTAAAAAAACGAAATTCGCTAACATTCATGCGCCATAAAGTTTTTTGATTTGATTGTTTCAAGGAAAGCGTAAGCACGTTTGTAATTGATATTACCGCTGCCATTCATACATTCATTCGTAGATGTTTTCATATGTCTACAGAACTTTTTATACATCTGAAAATTAAAGTGAAGGGCTTTTTGTTGCAGTAGACTGGAATAAACTCCTTCACCTAATTAGGTACAGTATTTAAGCGAATTTCCACAATAGCTTTTCGTACATCATTCAGAAATAACGTCATTGTTATATAAAAGTTATATAAAAGCAGTGAGGGTGCTGCACGGCATCAGAGGTGGCTCAAAATGTGGGCAGCTGAAGAAGAAATGGTTTGGAAAGTGTTTCATCTTGTAGCTTTCGCTGATTCTGACATGCACTGCACGACGCACCCGCAGATAGCGTAAAAATCCCCATTCTTACTTTGATTTTCGCACTTAGCCAAGCACTGTAAGCGCAGATATATTCAGCAAAGCAATGATCGAAGCAATTCAAACCTACTCTTTTTGCTTGCGGGTCCTTTGGAAGGCATTTGAATTTGCTCGTCGAAGCAGTAGTTGGACAAATAAAGCGACGGCTACATATATTTTCAATAGCAATACCAGCATGCAGCAGGATCATAATGAGCAGCAGGTTGGTGGACATTGCCCTGAAACATACGGTACAAAACAACTCGGAGCATCTATGAATGTTGGAGAGCAGCATCCTCTCAGAGAGGTATGCTTGTTGAAGTCTTGGTGTACCAGTTCCATAATTTAGTGATTGTACTCATAAACAAAAGAGTACTCATGTTTTACTGGGCAAATCGATATAATTATTTGCATATAGTTACTGATTTAAAATTTTCGAGTTGCGTCAAAATGTAGAATTTTAGCATCATACAGCAAGAAGAATCTCGTAAATCCACGAAATTTCAAATAAATTGAGGTTTCTTACTTCCCTAACAAATAGGATACCATTCGATGGAGCAGATTTAGCTCCACAAAGGCCACCAAAGATCCATTTAAGTCATAATCCAGGTAAAATTTGGAGCCAAAAATCAATTTTTCAGTTACCCTAAAAATCGGATCTCCTTCCAGAAAATTCTTACGAACTTCCAACTCGTTCTTAAGCTTAACGCTTAGCTCGCGCGATTCGGCCAAATCGCAGCGTTCGCGTGTCCTGGCAATTTGCCAGATATCTAAAAATTTCGCGAGGCTCTCCAATACATACATAGGCACTTAGGTTCTGTAATTTGCTGCAAACAGATTGAGTTCTACCCAAACAAAGCGCTCTGATGACTATTACGAACAGCCGTTTCGGGCCGAATCGCGCAGCGACTGGAATCGCGTTAAGTATGCCTGTTTAGGCATTAATATGATATGGTGGAGACTGGTAGTATACCCAAAAATGTATTTGGTGGATTTTTTTTGGGGCTTAGAATTGAGAAACAAAAAATGGTTTGAAGATGCAAAATGCTATTTTTTCGAGTTTTGTATGTAAAACTGGAATTTCTGGATTGTAAGAGCACATATAGGAATAAAGTTTTGAATAACGTGTAAGGACTGCAGTATACAATGACATACGTGGAAGGCTGACCGAGGACCGAGGGCGGTATTTGCCATTTTTAGACTATTTTTTTCTCACTTTCTGTGCACAGAAAAAATCCAATTAAGGCATATTGAGTATAACGTGTTTTTTGTGCAATGACCAAGTTTGAGGTCCGATTTTTTCCCGCAAATGTCCAATTTTCAGGTGACAAAATTTTCCGATTTTGGCTTCAAACTTTGAATCGAATGCGAAATAGGCGGATTCTCAGTGGCTTTAGAGCTTGATCCGTTTGAGAAATACTCTGAGTCTCTTAGGAAAACAAAAACGGCTCAAATTATTTAGAAAAGAGTATAGGACAACCTAGTACAGAACAGAAGCAATAAACTCAACCGTCAGTGTGCTTTTTGTTTTTGGCACGAAGAATAGGGAAGTTTAAGTGGATCACTGAATGCTGAAGATTGTCACTCATGACCACAATCCTCAACCAAAACAGAGATGTGCTGCACTGGAACAACATTTGTGGTACTTAAAAGACGTACGCATGGCTGATCAAACAAAAGAGGGCAAATCGCTGCTGGCTGCAGTAGAGCAAAAATCGTTCATCGCCAGACAGTTTTGCAAAATTCGGTTGGCAGCATTGCCTAATTTATTGGCGTAAGATATGGGTTGTGTAGGGCACAGCATCAAAACAATTACAGACCTGCCAAGCTGTATATCCTAACACAGAAAATTTGATGAATGATGAGGCTACGAACCGAACGTGCTGATTTAGTTGATACTGCGCAGCTGTGTCTTTCTAGAAAGATAGATATGTAGTAAAACTCACAACAAAGGCATGGTAAATCAATGTTTCAATGATTTCTGAGTTTTCTTCTCAGTAGGGAAAGAGAACACAAAGCTATATAATCCTTTAAAGTAATCCAGTTGAGAAAATTTTCGGATTATTAGTTTAGCCACAACATACGGCCCAAATCTTAGAATTGAAATTATGTTGCTTTCAGAGTACTGTTCCACCGTAAAAGCTATGGAACTTTGCTGTACATGTGGGGCTAACAGTGGTGGCGACGATATTGCGCTTCCTCAATCGCCTTCCCTCCTCCTCCCCTTCCTTTATCCATTCACCAAAAGTATACTGCAGTTTCATTGCTCCTCTGCTTTAAAGCCTTATTTTAAAAAAGATTTCTTGCGATTAGCCTGCAACATACTACGTGCTAGTTTTTTTCAGTTGGAGAAGACAACACATGAAGGTTAGGAGTAGTTTTTTGCAGGCTGTATAACACATCTTTGAAGAATCTCGATATTACTTGAAAAGGTCTTCATGTCCAGCCCCTCTAACGATCTCCAATGCCAGAAAACACCACGAAATGCACTTTCTTGACCTTTCAAACACTGTTCTGGATCAAGCGCATCAGAAGGCCAAGGAGGGATGTATAACTCGCAGTTAGAGTACGCCCGAGCCTTTGAGCTCTAAGTGTCGCTTATAATGTTGCATAGATTTTGTTTAAATGGGCATACCTCCTATGCAATCTGATGGAATTTACGGAGGGCCTTGTTACACACAAAAATTCTAAATGTTGAAAAATCAATGATCTGATCCATACCAAATAGTCCAGTAATGAAAAAACTTCCTCCAATTCAAAAGTGGGTAAACAAACCTTCTCCACCTTTTATATTGAAACTGTGAATGTTTTAATGAACATGTTCACGCGTGTCAACGGTAAGTGGGCGGTGCAAAGCGTTTTAGGCGTAAATCGGAACACGCCGTAATCGTAAGCGAGACGCGCGATAGGCGCACTTCTTACGGCTTAAGTGGGTCGACCAATATATCGATTGCATGGCGCGCCACTTTTAGTTTACATCGATGACATTCACACTTCCTTTATGATTCTACTTCTTTCCAGACGTTTGTCATGGATTACAAGCTTACCTTCGAGTGCCCTTGGCGCGATGCAAAATCTTCTCCATCGTATTCAACGATTTTCAGCTATACCGCTACCTGCGCAGTAGTTCACACGTTCTCCAATAAGGTCGATGTCCTTGATACAGCGAACTGTGAGTTTAGTAAAATTGTCAGTGATTGTGTGTATACAAGCAACTTTCAGATGCCGTTGAGGAGCGATCGATACGAGTAGCGTCACGACTTATACAACTTTGTGATAACTTCGACAAAGAATTGTTCCACGTTTTTTTCCAAAGTTTCTAAATCTTTGTAAAACTTGAATTTTCTGAAATGTTGTGCTTGTCGCCAAAGATTTTATTTTTAGAATAATTGCCGAACACCTACTTTTTAGAATAATTGCCGAATCTGCCACATCCTTTCGTTGCTGCTAAATCTCCTAAGCTGGCTGATCCGGCCATAACCTGTTTCTCTTGTAAAATGTGAACAAATTTCGTGTAAAATAGTGCTGTACATATCAACGACACTTGTAATACCTACTTGTATGATAAATGTTACTTTTGATGACATGTTCGTTCTCAGTGATGAAATATTGGAGTCTTCGATTTACTTTTTTTCTCACGATTCCTGGTGACGTCATGGCGTCTTCTGAAGCCGCACAAATTTCAAACTTCAAGTTGATATGTCAAATTTAAAAAAGAAACGTTATAAGCAGGGTCAAGCAAGGGGTGTGGCACACGATCGCTTTTTACGACCCCCCCCTTGATTGCTGTCTTAATAAGACCCCCCCCCCCTAAACTATATACCTAAGGTAGCATTACCAGAGTTGAGAAAGACAGGCACAAGTCTTTCGAAACCCCCCCCCCCCCCCCTCCCATGAAAGCCCTCAAACGACCCTTTCTTCCTCCTCTTAACCTCTGGACCTCAAAGTGTGACATTCTGGAGGACACTATCTTTTTCTAGAGAGTTTTCAGATTTCTGAGAGCTGTACGCCCGATTTTTTGTGACTGCACTTTACAATCACACGTAATTTGACGGCTGATTTTGATCTGAATGGGCATATTGAAAGGGCCATAATTTTCTTATGGGTGGGGCGTTCGGCTCCAAATTTTCAATGTAGCAAGAAGAAGCTGTGTGCTCAGCACTCATACCAGCAATGGAGCGCTTTCTGGATTTTGAAGGTAAGTTAAGGGAGTGCGGCACACCCCTTTAAAAGTTGCGGCAGCCGCAGCTTTTGAGGGGGTCTGCCGCACCCCATTAACTATATCAAATAAACATTTTTAGCGGACAATATACATTTGAATCGATAGCCTAAACCTTGTAGATTCCATAGGACTGTTTGGGGCCTGGTTCGTCTTCTTAGCTTTAAGTAATATTTGGTGAAAGCACAGCGATCAAAAGCGAAAAATGGGAAAAATGAGATTTTGGTTGGCTTCTAATTCCACAGTTTGCAGGTCTTCTGAAGCGGGATTCCTGAGGTGGACAAAGGAGGAGTAGTGCTTTGTCTTGAGTGCAAAAACGGATAGCTAATTCATTTTTGAAACAAAGTTAATCATGTTGGAATTTGACCATTTCATTTAGGTAGCCTAGTATCTTGAATCTTCAGAATTCGCTCACGCTTTGTCTACAGGGGTTAATTGACATGCTAATTATGGATATGATACGAATATCATGTTATCATTATTATCAGAGTACCCACCTACGACCCCCTCCCCTTTTGACTCCTCAATACGACCCCCCCCCCCCCCAGGTGTGGCGTGCCGCACCCCACGCTTGACCCTGGTTATAAGTGTGCTTGATGACGCCACTATGAAGCTGTAAAAAAGTAGTTTAGGCGTGATATGTAATAAGATTGTCAAAGCATCTGTTGATCACCTTAGAGTATTGGCGAGATATATGTTGGCGAATTCTGTCACTAAAGAAAGAAATTAGATCGTTAATGAAAATTAATAGGTGTTTGAAAAACAGCAAAGATAGTTCCAAAGAATTGAAGGTATTTTTCGAAAAATGACTTTACGCTTCTATCGTGATTTATATCTCATATATACCTTAAAGTAAGTCTAATTTGCTTAATCAAGCACGAAGCTATTTAAAGCCATTGAAGTTTTGAAGTTTAAAGTTTTGAGCTATTAAAGCTCATTTGTCTCACAAGTAAACAAGTAAGAAGAAAGCTTGGCCAACAACTGATATAAAGGGATGTCGCAAGAGTGTACTTTGGAAACTTTGTTTTATGACGATTTCTCTCATCATGAGAGTTTGCATAGAATTTCCGCTCACACCCTTACCTTCAGTTCTTGCATTCTAAGCAAAAGTAAATACTTGAACAGCTATTCAGAATTCGTAGCAAGCATCTACCTACATCGAGTGGTCAGGGAAGGTGGAACTTGCAACGCTCTTTGTTGATGTTGGGATGGGTCCTAAGGAGCGGAGGAAGATGGTGGGAGAAGCTCTTGTGATACGGCTATCCCAAGATTTCCTTTTGGAGGGGCAGGGAACGAATTCTTTTTTTTTGAATAAATGTCCGTGTCCTTAGCCACGCACTTTGAAAATTTTTCTGGGAGCCATGCCTCTTTTTCCGACCTTTCTTACAAGTACTTGAATAATGGATAGTTATTTTGCCTATTTACAAGTATAAACGTATTTACACACCTTTATAACCCATTAAGTAACTTTTAAAATGTCGCCCCTTTGATCCCCACTCGGTTCGCCACTGGCAATTTGCACACAAGTAGTGGTTCAATTTCATACCATGACTCCTCTGCGAGCGCGAAGTTTTATTTCGATCACCACGAATAGAAATCATCTTGCATAGACTTGGACTTCTTACAACTACTTTCTTCACGCTACGCATCCCAGCTTTGAGCGGATCTAGCTTCAAGTGAGAGAGCATAAGGGTAACGCCTATTATACAATGAGCTGCGTTATATGTGGTTCAAAAGCCATGGTCAATTGGCCACTGAAAACCATAAGCTGGGAATCTGACGCTTATTCAATGATCAACGAAGGACTTGGAGCAGCTGCTAAAAATAGGAACATACTATCACCCAACAACGTTGGAAGCGTTCGTCTATCCTTATTCTGAGTAATTTCAGGATAGCTCTGGAAAGGGGCAAAAGCGACCTAATGCTAGGTTGGCGTATAACTTCTGTTACACTTTCTTCTAGTTCTGAGAAATTCGGAAGCTTTCTAGAAGCGTCAAGCTTGCTGCACATTTAGGGCATTGCAGGGCGTACACAATAACACAACAGCATGGTTGATGCCGCAAATGCACAAATAGTTAGCAAGCTTACAACAACTTTGTAAGTGTACTCAAAATTAACATTTTCCTTTGGTTTTTTCTTTGCGTTTAACTGTATTCCCTCTCCAGAAACTACATTTCGCACTGTCTCTTTCATGCAGCACCTTGGTGCCGCTAGTATGTCAAATACGAGAGGAGAGAAATAAATCGAAAAATCAAAAAGGTTGAAGTTTATTTTTGCGTGTATCGAGTAGGATTTGATGCGAAGATGTTGGAAATACTTTCTGTGAATTTTTAAGAATGGTTTTTTTTTTATCGAAATGCGAATGTGCCCTGACCAGGTGCACCATGTAGCCCATGTGAAGGTGTGCGGACTATACTTGGGTAATTCGAAAATTCTTCATCGAATGAATGAATATCGAATAAACTCGAAAAGGAAAAATTTCGAATAAACGAATATTGAATAAATTCGAAAATAAAAAAACTTGAATAATCGAATAGCGAATAAATTCGAGGATCAAAAATTCTCGAATGAATGAATTCCGAATAAATTCGGAAAATCAAAAATATCAAATGAATGAATATCGAATATATTCGAACATTGGAAGTCGAATTTCGAATAAATCGAATGATTTATCGAATAACTAGAGCAACCATGTCTTAAACTTGCCGACATATGTGGCTAAAGCCGATCCATTCATAATCAGCACCCAATTTTCCAAAAATCGCTGAAATCGATAAAATAGATTTCGGTTACAATTAGCATCCTCATTTACCTCCCCCCCCCCTGTAGCAACTCCCAATCCGTGCAAGATTTTTCAAAAATCGAAAGAGCCGAAAAAGTAAATTTTTATTCAAAATCAGCACCCTCACTTACCCTCTTGTACCAACTCCCAGCCCCGTAGCTCAAACTTCTCTTAAAATCGATAAAGTTGGTCGGTTAGCAACTAGTCTATACATCAGCAAAAAAACGTATTTTACCCATTATTGGACGATCTTAAAAAGCAGTCGATATGAATTTTTATGCTGCCAAAAAACTCTTCTTCAGATGGTCTGCAAGAGATTGAGGTACACTAGGAATAACTTTATTTCTTATCAGCATCAACAATGTAAAAGCAAAGTGCTTGGTCTACTTTCTACAGATTGGGATACCCTTCTTCCAAGTAGTGTAGGAATATATGATGGACATAAGCAAACATGCGACTCTCATACAGTTCAAGGGTTTAACGGTTGCAAAAGATGCATTACCGAGTTTTGCGAAAAAAAAAGCGGACGAAGTGAGCTTGACACTCAGCAGCTGGCTCTGCAACAAAGTCGAATATTCTGAATACGGAGTTCATTCGAATACAAATTCGAACAAACATTCGAATAAAACATTCGAATAAAATCTATTCGAAACTCCGTTTTTTGATTATTCGAGTTTCCGAATATTATTCGAATCCTCGTTTTTTGATTATTCGAGTTTTCGAATTTTATTCGAAACTATGTTTTTTGATTATTCGAGTTTCGAATTTTATTTGGAACCCCGTTTCCTCAATTATTCGAGTTTCGAATATTATTCGAAAATGGAAGAACTCCGAATATCGAATTTCGAATACGAATGTATTCGAATGTTTTATTCAATGATCGAATTCGAATGTTTTATTCAATGATCGATTCGGATCCAAGTATAGATTGCACCCCGTCAACACTCCTTTAACATAAGAGGTTAAATTCTTAAAAGTTTCAGAAATATAACAGCTGCCAGATACACCGTAATAGTCTTTAATATTCTTCAGAAATTTGGTTACATTATCATTGATTGTGTAGTGGAACGAGCATGCATTAAATTTTTGCCACATATTCTAAGCACCTTTTTGTAAAGATTTTATAACCAAACGGGCTTTACTCACATTGACCTTTCGTTCTGGAAGTCCCTACTAACCGCAGTAATGATTGGCTCCCTGCTGTAAATTATGTTGTAACCAGATCTACGTATGTTACCTTAAAAGCAGCGACAAAAGAAGGAAGTTAATAACGAACAAACGTACGCCGGAAATCATACAGTCGCCATCCTTGATGTAAGGAC